AGGAGACGCAACGACAAGAGAAGACGGAGGAGGAGACGGGAGGAGGGGAGGTCGAGACGCGTGGGAACGGAGCAACATAGGGTGAGAGCGTGGGACAGGGGAGACAGGACGAGCACGAGAGGGGCGGCGAGACCAGACGTGTGAGGGCGGCGTCGGGTCAGGAGACAGAGGAGGGGACACAGGAGGGGAACGAGGGGGAAGACGAGCCGGGGACGAGTCTGGCAGAGGGAACACGGGGCCGTAGACGGGAAGAGGGGGAGACGGCAGGAGAGGAACAGGCGCAGGGTCAGGAGACGGAAGGCCGAGCAGACGGAGGGCGGACACAGGCGGGGACTGCTGCTGCGGCGACACAACACCAACACCAGGGCCACAAGCTGCGCGACGGCTACCTCCCGAACCCTCCACACCTGCACCCCCAGAAGGGACACCCCCAGAGTCCACAAACGGCGGCAGCGACGACAGCGGCGGCGGCGGCGGCGGCTGCAGCGACGGCTGCGACGGCGGCGGCGGCGGAGACGACGGCTGCAACGGCGGCGGCGGTGGAGACGACGGCTGCAGCAGCTGCGGCGACGGCGGCTGCGGAGGCGGTGGAGGAGGAGACACCGGGGGAGGGACAGACGGCGAGGACTGCGCCGGAGGACTACCAGAGTCAGAAGACTCGTCGACCGGGACGACCGACGGGAGGGGGGTGACGTGAGACACACCAGAGGGGGCCGGACGGGGGGGCGGGGGGGGGGGAGGGGCAGGGACCACCAGGGAGGGAGGAACCAGGAAAAGGGGGGGAGTAACCGGGGGACCACGGTGGGGAAAGCGGCGGTAGAAGGAGACGGACTCGTCAAAGGTGACGTCGCGAGAGTGAAAGAAGCGGTGAGACGGCGGGTGGTAGAAGTGCCAGTCGGACGCGTCAAGGGGGAAACCGAGGAAGACGCAGGGGAGGGTGCGGGCAGTGAGCTTGTCCGTGCCAGAGGCACGAACGTGAGCAAGGCAGCCCCAGACGCGGAACGCAGACGCGTCACCAGGGGACCCGGTCCACAGAAGGGTCGGCGAAACCTGCGGCCGCTGGGGGTGCGGCCACAGGTTAAGCTGGTGAGCGGCGTAGCGCACGGCGAACGGCCACAGAAAATGGGGTGCACCGGCGTGGATCATGGAGGTGCGAGCCACCTCCATGACCAAACCGATGCGTCGCTCAGCGACCCCATTCTGCTGCGGGGAGTCCGGCAGGGTAAACGTCTGGGTGATGCCCTCCGCACGACAGAAGCGACCAAGGACACCTGAGGCAAACTCGCCACCCCGGTCGGAGTGAAGGCGCAAGGCAGGGAGACCGCGGTGGATACGAGCAGAGACAAGCCAGGGGATGAGAACGTCAGGCACGTCGGCCTTCCGCTCCAGGGGGAAGACGGTGGTGTAGCGCGTGAAGTCGTCGACAAGCACTAGGAAGAAGCGCTCGCGACGCGGCCCATGGACCGGGGCTGGGCCCCAGACGTCCATGTGCAGAGTCTGCAGTGGTGCGGTGGTAGGGGGAAAAGAGGAGGAGTGAGGGGCACGGCGGAGCCGACCCTCGACACAAGGCGTGCACGGTGGGGCGGGGGAGGAGGGAAACTCGGGGAACGAACCGGGGAGACCAAGGACGAGACCGTGCTGGGACATGTGACGCAGACGTGGGAGTGCAGGGTGACCAAGGCGGTGGTGCCAAAGGAGAGTCGGGTGAGTGAGGGACCGACAGGAGCACGCGGCTGCAACCTGGGTGGACGCAGCTACCGGGGGGGAAGACCCAGCCGGGGACGGCGCGGTGTCAAGTGTGAACAGGCCGGACACCGGGTCCCGGGGGAAAGTGGTAAGGGGGGCACCAGAGGCGGCCTCGGTACAGACAGCATACCGCTCGTGACCAGGGAACGTAGTGGTGACGCCAAGGTCCTGGAGGCAGCCGACACCAACTAGGTTCCTGGAGAACGAGGGGATATGCAGACCTGTGAGAGTGCCCGAAGGAACCGCCGGACAGGGAAGGGAGGTGGAACTGCGGGCAACGACGGGACCACCGGAGGGGTCAGCAAGAGTAACTGCAGCGGGAACAGGCAGCGGCGTCAGCGTCGTGGAGTCGCGGAAGAAACACCGGGAGGCGCCAGAGTCCAAGGTGAAGGAAAGCGCAGCAGTCGCGCGAGGCAGCAGTGAAGCGGTGGAAGCACCAAGGCTAAGCAAAGCAGGAGATCCTACGCCTGACGCAGCAGGGGAGTCTACGCTAGGCACCGCTACACTAGGCAACACGGGGTAATAAGAGGGAAGCACACTAGAGTCATCAGCATACATCACATGCAAGGCCGCTACAATGGCATCCATGTCCAAGTCAAAAATCCTAATGCTACGCCTAAGCAAGCTGTGCCAGTCCGGGAGGTCGGGCGCCGGGCCAAAGCGCTGGCGGAACAGGTCGTCCAGGCGACGAAAACAGCGAGGAGTAGAATGACCGATCTTACCGCAAACGAAGCCGCGGCGAGGACCGGTCTGGATCTGGTACTGACAGTGCCCGCCTCCAGAACCACCACCCGGTGCACCACCACGCGCACGACCACCACCAGCTCCAGGCCACCCAGGTGGGAGAGTACTCGCCTGCCTCGTCTGCGGCGGCTGCTGCGGCTGCTGCGAAGGCTGCGGCTGCGGCGACTCCTGCTGCTGCGGCTGCTGCAACTGTGGAGGCAGCGGGGCAGCTGGACCGGGCAGGGTCCCCACGTCCGCACCGGCACCGGACGACCCGCCTCCACCACTACCCCCACCCGCACCCCCGCCGCCTCCGCCGCTCCCAACCTTGGGGCGGCGGCCCTTCGCCGAGCGGGACTGCACTGCAGCAGCAGTCTCAGCCACAGCGACAGAGCCGTCGGAGAAGGTACACTGAGCGGGGGCACAACCCTGAAAGATAGGGACCGGTACTGTACCGCTCGCCAGGGCTATGGAGCGGTGACGAGTCTCTATGGCAGTCAGGGTGTCAACAAAGTCGGTGAGGGTGAGAGCAGCAGGGTGGATGCTAAGGAACTGGTCGCGGGCGGCGGCAAGGCGGTCAGGTAGGCGGGTGGCAAGGAGGTAGAGGGTAGAGGTCATGGGAGGCTGGTGGACTCTAAGCTGAGCATCAGTGCAGGCAGCGCGCCAGGCCTCATCTATCGAGCGCAGGTGGGCAGCGAGGTCAGAGACAGTGGGGAAAGACGCCAGGTCAGGAAAGAGCAGGGGAAGGATCAGGCGACCCACTGAGGCAGCAGGAGGGGTAGAATAGCGCTTGATGACAGCATCGAGGTAGGCCTGGGTGGTAGGAATGGTTCTAAAGCGAGGGCGCTCAGTGGGGGGGAGGGCATTGCTAATGGCGAGCTGAGCAAGGGCATCGCGGGAAAGCCAGACAGAGCGGGCAAGGGCAGCAGCGGCAGTGGACTCGCGCTCAGCGGGCGTGGGATCAGCGGGCAGCACAGCAGGGGGGTCAGGGCAGGGGAGCATACCGTCTAGGTGTGCAGAAAGCGGGTGGCCGTCCTGCCGCTGGCCAGTGAGGTGGCGGCGAAGGTCAGCCAACCACGCCTCGAACTCCAGAGGCTGACCCTCAACATCAAAACGAAGCTCAGCAGCCATGAGGGGCAGTGGAGGACAGTGCAGTGCGGTGCAGTGCGATGCAGTGCGGTGCAGTGCGGTCCAGTGCGGTGCAGTGCGATGCAGTGCGGTCCAGTGCGGTGCAGTGCGGTCCAGTGCGGTGCAGTGCGATGCAGTGCGGTGCAGTGCGGTCCAGTGCGGTGCAGTGCGGTCAGTGCGATCCAGTGAGGTGCAATGCGATGCAAGGCGGGGCAGGAAAGTGCAGGAGGGTGCAAAGGGGTGCGGGGAACGGGGGACAGTACCAGGAAGTATGGAGGGCCGGGGCAGGTGCGTCGGGGCCGGGCAGGCACGACAAGGCCGGGCGGCGGCGACGGGGCCGGGCGGCGGCGACGGGGCCGGGCGGCAGCGACAAGGCCGGGCGGCTGCGACGTGGCCGGGCGGCTGCGACGGGGCCGGGCGGCTGCGACGGGGCCGGGCGGCAGGGACGAGGCCGGGCCGGACACAGCAGGGCCGGGCAGGGGCGACGGGGCCGGGCGGCTGCGACGTGGCCGGGCGGCTGCGACGTGGCCGGGCGGCTGCGACGGGGCCGGGCGGCTGCGACGGGGCCGGGCGGCTGCGACGGGGCCGGGCGGCGGCGACGGGGCCGGGCGGCAGGGACGGGGCCCGGGCAGGCCACAGCAGGGCCGGGCAGGGGCGACGGGGCCGGGCGGGCGAGCAGGGGCCGGGCAGGTGCGTCAGGGGCCGGGCGGGCGCCACGCGGCCGATAGGCCGCGACGGGGCCGAGCAGGGGCGACGGGGCCGAGCAGGGGCGACGGGGCCGAGCAGGGGCGACGGGGCCGAGCAGGGGCGACGGGGATGGGTAGGGGCGCGACGGGGCCTGGAGGGGCGTTACCAAGCCCAGGTAGGGGCGCGACGGGGCCTGGGGGGAGCGCAATGGGGCCCAGGAGGGGCGCTACGGGGCCTGGGAGGAGCGCGACTGGGCTAGGGAGGGGCGCGACGGGGCCTGGAAGGAGCGCAATGGGGCCCAGGAGGGGCGCTACGGGGCCTGGGAGGAGCGCGACGGGGCCCTGGAGGGGCGCTACCAGGCCCTGGAAGGGGCGCGACGGGGCCTGGAGGGGCGCTACGAAGCCCTGAAAGGGGCGCGACGGGGCCTGGAGGGGCGCTACGAAGCCCTGAAAGGGGCGCGACGGGGCCTGGAGGGGCGCTACGAAGCCCTGGAAGGGGCGCGACGGGGCCTGGGAGGAGCGCAGTGGGGCCCAGGAGGGGCGCTACGAGGCCTGGGAGGAGCGCGACGGGGCCCAGAAAGGGGCGCAACGGGGCCCAGGGAGGGTCGCGACGGGGCTAGGAGCACGACGGGGCCCAGCTAGGGGGCGAGCGGAAGCGTGAGGGGGCGGGGGGGGGGGGGATCCTACCTACGCGTGATACCATATCAAACAGTGAAATTGATGAATAGAGAGAGAGAGTACACAAACATATACCTAACTGTTGTACTCTCTAGAAGATGACCCTATACAGTCTATACAAGCATGATAACTAAACATGTTTGACAGGTAATGGGTATGTGTGCTTCATGCAAGGCTCCTTCTGCACCTTCGGTAGCACTAGCATCAGCAGTTTGGCCACCACCAGCTGCAGCAGCAGCAGCAGACACACTACCAGCAGGACCATTAGCACCCCGCACCGGCAGAACAAGCAGCAGCAGCAGCAGCCGCCACACCTGCATCCGTCCTTGCACTACCACCACCAGCATTGACACTGGAGAGTGTTCTGAATGCTATTGGTGCATCAGCAGCAGCAGCAGCAGCAGCACCAGCAGCCGCATTGACCGCTGGTTTCGGTGTTCTAGGTGTCCGTGGCGTCCTAGGCGTTCTGGGAGTCTCACTCTCCCCCATCTCCATCAGAGCCGTCAAAGTCTGCACCATATCGGCCATCGACGGCCGAGATTTCACGTCCAGCAGGCAGCAGTGCGCCGCAACAGCGAGTTTCAGCGCGCCCTTGTGCGAGTACCGCCCCTGCAAGCGGGGGTCCATGAGTTGAGCTACCTTCCGCCGGTCTGCCAGAAACGGCTTGGCCCAGAACACGAGGTTCTTTTCATCGCCTGGCCGGTCCACATCCACAGCTCGCCGCCCCGAGAGCAGCTCTAAGAGCACCACTCCGAAAGCATACACGTCGCTCTTGGCTGTCAGGTGGCCTGGTGATGGTGGTGTGCGGTTGAAGGAAGGGAAGAGACGAAGAGAGAAGGGAGGTTGTGAGAGAATGGAGGTTGGGAAAAAAGGGAGGTGGTGATGTTTCCTGAGCTGAGGCGCAGAAGTACCAGCAGCAGCACACCCTTGTGCGAGTACCACCCGTGCAGCTGGGGCACACAACCACAATGTCAGACATCAGACATATGGCACCGGCCACCCGGTGTGAAGAGCAGGTCTTTCAGTTGACTTAACAGCATCATCACTGTAACGGGCCTGCCCATACCTGTCCGTCCCTCACTGTACCTCTCCGCATGTACTCGATTGCAGTGCAGCCATTGGTGTCCACCACCTTGGTAAACACGTGGATTCTCACCTGCAGGTCCTCACCTGTTCTCACCTGTCCTCTCCTTTCCTCACCTGTCTGCCTCCGGTTGCGCCGGCCTGCACTGCAACTCACCTGTCTGCATGTACTCAGGAGCGGTGTAGCCGTACGTCCCAATCACCTTGGTGGACACGTGGGTATCCGCCCCTGCTGATGCTTACCTGCCTGCACCAGTCTGCACCGCTCTGTACATATCTGTCTGTACGGCAACTCACCTGTCTGCATGTACTTGGGGGCGGTGTAGCCATACATCCCCACCACCTTGGTGGACACGTGGTAATCTGCCCCTGCAGCCCTGTACCTTCTTACACCGCTTTGTACCACATTGTACCAGTCTGAACTGCTATTCCTTACCTGTCTGGATGTACTCAGGAGCAGTGTAGCCATACGTCCCCACCACCTTGGTGGACACATGGGTGTCCGCCCCTGCTGATCCTTACCTGCCTGCACCGCTCTGCACTGCTCTGCATATATCTGCCTGTACAGCAACTCACCTGTCTGCATGTATTCGGGGGCAGTGTAGCCATATGTCCCCACCACCTTGGTGGACACGTGGGTGTTCTCCCCTAGTGCCCATACCTTTATGCACCGATTCATACTGCTCTGCACCGCAACTCACCTGTCTGCATGTACTCGGGGGCAGTGTAGCCGTACGTCCCCACCACCTTGGTGGACACGTGGGTGTCCGCCCCTGCAGGCCCGTACCTTCTTACACCGCTTCGTACCGCATGGTACCAGTCTGCACTGCTACTCCTTACCTGTCTGCATGTACTCAGGAGCAGTGTAGCCATACGTCCCCACCACCTTGGTGGACACGTGGGTGTCCGCCCCTGCGGGCCCATCCTTGGCCAGACCGAAGTCAGAGAGCTTGGCGTTGAAATCCTGGTTGGTGGTGGTGGTGGTGGGGGTGGTGGGGGGGGGGGGGGGTTGAGTGGAAAAAAGCGGGAAACAGAGAGGGTAAGAGTGACAACCTTGGGGAGCTTGGGGAGTAGGTGCACCGACCGCCTTGGTGGACACTTGGGTGTCTGCCCCTGCAGGCCCGTCCTTGGCCAGACCAGAATCCGAGAGCTTGGAGTTGGAAATCCTGGGTAATGGTGGTGGGAGTGGTGGTGGTTGTGGTGGTGGTTGTGGTGGTGGTGGTGGTGGTGGTTGTGGTGGTGGTTGTGGTGGTGGTTGTGGTGGTGGTGGTGATGGTGATGGTGGTGGTTAGGAAGGGAACGGAGGAGACACACACCACACATCCCACCTCCACCCTTACCCCATCCAGCAGTATGTTACCGGCTCTCAGATCTCTGAACATGACCTGCCGCTCCATCCGCTCATGCAGGTGTCAGCCCCTTCACTGCCAGGCAGACCCAACACATGCTGGCTGCAACACCCATATGGCATCCCTTCAAGGAGTCTATGTTTGAGGCGCCTCAAAAATATACTCCTCACTGCTGGCTGCAACACCCAAACGGCATCCCTTCAAGGTCCACCACACGGCATCCCTCCCTCCACCCTCACGCCTCACCTCAGCCAGCAGTATGTTGCCCGCCTTAAGTTCTCTGAAAATGACATGCCGCTCATTCCCCTCAAGCAGGTACCCCAACGACTTTTGAGTCGACTCAAAAGTCACCTAGAATGACATGCCGCTCGTTCCCCTCAAGCAGCTACCCCAACCCTGCGGCTTCTTTTACTCTCCACCCTCACCTCGTCCAACAATATGCTCCTCGCCTTCAGGTCTCTTAAAAACGGCTGCCACTCCGTCCCTCCATGCATGCACGCCAGCCCTTCTGCTGCTCCCAGGGCTACACTCACTCACATACGTCCCTCCAACCTCACCTCATCCAGCAGTATGTCGCCCGCCTTCAAATCTCTGAAAATAACTTGTCTCTCCGTCCCTTCATGCAGGAACGCCACCCCCTTAGCTGCTCCCAGTGCCACGTGCAATACATCCCACCCACCCACCACCCTCACCTCGTCCAGCAGTATGTTGCCCGCTTTCAGATCTCTGAAAATGACCTGCCGCTCCGTCCCCTCATGCAGGTACGCCAGCCCCTTGGCTGCTCCCAGAGCCACGTTCACCCGCTGCTGCCAGGTAAGGGGCGGCCGGCTGTCTGGGCAAGGAACCAGGGGAGCGGGGGAGGAAGGGGAGAGGGGGGGGAGACATGAAGGAGAGGAGAGCTTGAGCAGGCCTTTGCTCCCAGTGCCACGTTCACCTGCTGCTGCCAGGTTAAGGGCGGCCGGCTGTCTGGGGGAGGAACCGGGGGAGACGAGTGGGAAAGGGATGCATCCGCCATGAGCTCGTACACCAGCAGGCCGCACTGCTGCCCCGAGGCGTATCGATCTGCGTGCATGCTTACGCACACAGCTATGCAGGAAGACACATCATACAGTGAAGACTGACCGTCAAAGAGGTGGTAGTCTAGGGACGCATTGGCCATGCGCTCATACAGCAGCAGGCCGCGCTGCTGCCCCGAGGCGTATCGATCTGCACTGCATGCATGCTTACGCACACAGGTATGCAGGAAGACACGTCATACAGTGAAGACTGACCGTCGAAGAGGTGGTAGTCTAGGGACGCATTGGCCATGAGCTCGTACACCAGGAGGCCGTTTTCCTGCTGCACGCAGTACCCCACGAACTGCACCAGGTGGGGGTGCCGCAGCCGACGCAGGAATACTACCTCTGTCTGAAGGGGTTAGGCGGGGGAACAGGGGCAAGATGAAGAGAGATGGAAGGCTTGAGGGGTTGGTACCAGCATGCCATGCTCCTGCTCCACGCAGTACCCCACGAACTGCACCAGGTGGGGGTGCTTGAGCCGGCGAAGGAACACCACCTCTGTCTGAAGATGGGGAAAAAGCGAGGGGCAAGGGAGGCGCAAGGGAGGAGGGGGGTGAGGGGTGGGGAGTTGTAGCAGCAGGCCGTGCTCCTGCTCTGCTGCACGCAGTACCCCACGGGCCACGAACTGCACCAGGTGGGGGTGGTGGCGCAGGTGAGCCAGAAACAGGTGGTTTTTTTGTGGACTAAAAAATCACCCCCGGGGCCACGAACTGCACCAGGTGGGGGCGATGCAGGTGATGCAGAAACGCCACCTCTGTCGGAGGATGGGGTTGGCCCGGTTGGAAGGAGTGGGGGGAGGTAAGAGAATAGTAGTATGCCGGGGAGTTGAGCCTAGCAGGCGGAATACAGTAACTCACGAACTGCACCAGGTGGGGTGCGTGTGGGTGGCGCAGCCACCCTCTCCCCCCCCAACTCCTTTCGCTTCCCGCCCCCGCCCCTACCAGTCAGCCACTACCCCTTCGTTTTCCCTAGCTGGCATAACCCAAGCAACTACATAATGCCCTACCTTCCAGGCTCTGCCACCCACGCCCTACCGCCCACGCCCTACCGCCTACGCCCTACCAGACATACCCTAACCTTATGACTCCTGATCGTAAGGTTAGGGTGTGCCTGATCAACACAAGCACTACTTGCCGCCCTACCACCCACGCGCTACCACCCATACCCTAACCTTATGACTCCTGTCCTGGATTCAGCCCAAGCGCCGCCCTACCAGCCATTCGTTGAATCCCTGCAGTCCCTCATCATTCAGCTGCTTCACTGCCACGTGGCGCTGCACCGTGCTGCCATCTGGCGCCTCCTCCTCAACCACCCCGCGGTACACCCTCCCAAACCCGCCCTCCCCCAGCAGATTCGCCTCACTGAACCGATCCGTGGCAGCTGCAAGCTCCGCATAAGTGAACTCAGTGGGTGGAGTTAGATTCGCCTCGTCACGACTGTAGAAATCGCCTCCTGGTCTTAGCGGTGGCGCGGCGTCCGAGGAGGGAATAGTGAGGGAGGGGCGGCGGGGAGCGGGCTTGGAGGACTTGCTAAAAGGGTTGCTCGAAGATTTGCTCGAAGATTTGCTCGAAGATTTGTTGATTTTGTTGGAAGACTTTGAGCGCTCACGAGTGGGAGAGGAGGAGGACGTCTTGGACGGCCTAGAGGGGACTGGTGGTTAGGAGCGAGTGGGGAGGGGAATGAGGGAGTGGAGGTGGAAGGGAATGAGAGGGGAGGATAATGGGATCCAAAGTCAGAAAGGTTGGTTGGATCGGGACGGGGATGGAACCATGGCTGTAACGCTGGTTGGTGCGTTTCACAAATTTCAAGGACGAGCCCTGAACGCTGGTTGGTGTGTTTTTAGCGAGGTTGGCGAGATAAGGTGTGGGAACAGTAGATGGCGAGGCTAGGACGGCCTTATTAGCTGTTTCTACACTGCCAGCAACAGGACACGACGTGGGATTTTCAGCCTGGAAAATGAATGGCGACGAAAACACGGGAGAAAGATACTACCATTGGGGTTGAGGACGTTCTACTGGATGGCATTGAGGCTAGACGGCCGCTAAAACTTCTGACGGCCGTTGAAAAGCTTGACGACCAGAAGCCTAAAGCTTTCCCGGCGCTGCTCGACGACTTGTCACGTGTGTTTTGGCGATTTGTAACGCGTACGCACCTTTGGGTTTCTCGTTATTCGACGATTTGTCAGCCGAACGCGAGCCTGCACAACCCATAAAGAGCTATCTAGCCTAAGGCGTGACCATAGATCGTCAATACAGCGGTGTCAGCTGCTAGGTCGTGGAGGTAGACTAAAGACCGTAATGCGCGTCAGGATAATCCGCAAACCAAAGGGTACAGCGTCTTGCGGATGGAACAAGTGCGAGACCTGGTCGTCAAGCGACGTTCCTCGCTCTACTCGGGTCCGTTTCAAGAAGTAATTCTGCTGGTGTGACTGTGAAGGACTCACCAAAACTCCACCCTCAATTCTCAGTTGCGTTGAGAGACGAATAATTGTTTGAAAACTTCTGTACCCCTTTAAAACGTGATGAACCGATTTAAATCAATGTACACAATGAGCAGGAAAGAGAAACGTTCATGCGTTGCGAAGGCATGGCAAAAGTCGGAGGGAATGGATTCACCAACTCCAGCCTTGATACCTCCAAACCGCTTGGCACCCTGTCAGAGATATCTTTCGCGCGTCGTCAATGAGTTTTCGCATGTAACATCCCGCCTCACTCACTCACGTGACGGCTGACCGTGGTAAATGACGGACGAAAAAAAATAGACGTCGCGACTTGCGACAGCGGCGGAAGCCTATCTCGTCAATGTGAAGCCTTTCCCGTCAGTCTGTTTTGCCAACTCAGGGGACGTCCCGCAAAAATAGTATACGGTGGTGTACCGTGCAAAGCATTTGAAAACGGTATTCTTGCTCACCGTCTTCAACCTTGAAGCACCGCGTTGGACCTGTACGAGGTGCGAAGAAAACGTATTATTGGAACACGCCGTATGGGTCAGGCGACGTGACCAGCATGAAGGCTTGAAGCCGTCAAGTAAAGTATAGGTCACGCGAAATCGTTAGGAAAACGTTTCGAATACAGGGTACCTGCCCGCGAAGTAAAACCACTGAACTGAAGCCACCATCCAATCCAACCCAACAAAACACATCACGTCCCTCCCCTCCCCATCCCCATCCCTTCCCACCCAAAGGCACGCCTCCCCACCACGAAGCCCATCATCTTTTTCCTTTTAGGAATGAAGTATTCTTGATTGCCTAGGACCACCTCAGACCAGCTTCCGTGGGTCCTCGCGTACCTCTCACGCTGGTACATCCAGTACATGGCAGGAAGTCCACGCGTGTTTCTCGCGCCTGAGTCGAAGCGCTGAACGCTATGGCGATTCCAGTGGATCACAATCTGCCTCAAAAGCGAGAGGTTAAAATAGTGACCCCTCTTTCTAGTTGGGCCCAACTAGAAACGACCCTTGAGCGAATGTTTTGCTTCGCGTCGGGCAGCAGCCCGGATTTTTTTGCTTGTCTTGGGCCACCAAATCAAATTGCACCTGCGACGGGAATTTTATCGTGACAGATCGTACAGCCACTGGCATGCGCAGACAATAATTTCGACCAATCGGCAACCAGCCTTGGTTTAGCAGGCGTAGTGAACCCGGGTCCAACTTGAAATCCAAGTTCGGCCCACTTGGTTCAACTTGCGGGCAGTGGGGACTGTGAGACTGGTCGCGCGCTATTTGCGACTTGAGTTTGTTCGCGCCAAGTGCTGCTCATGCCACGTTTCCCACCAAACGAAACGGGGTTTCTCGTCAACCAATCAAGTAACTGCTCATGCTCGCGCAGTTTCTCTTGCTCGCATGTCTCGACAGTGAACCCCTCTGCCCCAACCAGGGCTAATTTTTCGTTTTCCAGGACCCAGCGGTCTCAGGATTCGCGTCACTAAATACCCTGAAAATTCAGCATTCCCAGGAAAATCTCTCTTTATTTCAGGATTACTTTGACCTTTCAATCTGAATTTCAGAGTGTTTTTTGGAACTCCCTACATATAGGCGGAACCTGCGGGCACTTCGAGTACAAGCAGGACGGACATCCATGGAAGAAACGATGGAGAAGAATACAGAGTACACACTTGCTGCTGTTGCTGTCCCTCAGCACCACACCAAGTTCGACACTTTCCTTGTCAATCGCGACAGAAATGCGTACAACTTAGAGGGACAGTGCGAAGCCTGGCTAAGGTGATATTAAGGGGTTGTGATAATCTGAAAGCCCTGCACTTCTGTAGTTGTGAAAGCTCCACGGTCACACCTTCAGATTGTGGGGAAAATTGGTCAGGGCTGCAATGGGGGGGAGGGTAGGGTTACAATTCCGGCACGGGTGGTTTTCATTCCAGTCGGATAGCCAGGATAATTTTTCGCGCAGTCCGGATTTCTCAGAGAGTTCCTGGGAAACGCCCGGAATCTGTCAGGAGGTTTGTGATTCTGAAACCCTCAAAATCAGGATTTCAGAGGGAAAGACCCGGAATGTACCTGACATTCCGGATGTTTACCCTTGAACCGAGAGCCCTGGCCCCAACCAGTTTGTCCCTTAGTCGCTACGACGAACTTATGGGCCCTTTCAAATTGGACCCGCCTTCAGTATTTTGACCGCTCGCTGTAACATTAGGTCTGCACACGGAAGCCTGTAAAAAAGACATCCAAGTCTCCCATTGCCATCACAGCTTCTATAACAGCTGCTCCTCCGAGAACAGACATTCCGGGCAGAAACAGGTGTCTTTTCGGAATGGCGTTTCGGACAGTTTTCCGAATGAAGGTATGATGGTTGCCGGGCAGAACCCCGACACTTTTGGGATTGCTCTCGGAATGGAAACTGTCCGACAGTTGGCCCTAAAGTGTCTGTACAATGTTCCCTAGGCATCACATAAACCGTCCAATTCATCATCGCTAGTAGCTCGCGATTGTTTTGTACAAGTCACGCTACAAGTAAACATTTTATTATACAAGCCATGTATTACAATTACATAAATAATGAAAGATATGTAAGATAAAAAATCTAATGTACCCATTTCCGTAGAAGTAACGAAAGCCCAGAATGCAACTAATATAATGCTCAACCTGCACCATTGGCCAGAGCACGCCAATGAAAGCCGTGCAAAATACATGAGGCAAACAAAGTATCATAAAATCGTTTAAGCACAAGAGTTGAAATACATAGGTCAAGGGCAATCCCGAACAGGAAACAACCATCAATCTTGAGAGCAATGGGACACTGGAGGGTGGGCAAAATGAACGGGGTCCGGCCCGTGCCGTGAAAGTGGAAAAAGGAAAGACAGAGTGAAGAAACCCAAGTAGCTGAGATAATAAATACTTATCTCAACATACTGTCGCATCGATCTGGCATGCGATGAGATCCCTGGAGCGTGTGCAGAATTGATGGGAGTCTACCATCGCCTTGAATTGTAAATAAACTCCACATAAGCACGGTACGCACACCTTCAAAATAAACAAAGGATTAGCGCGCGAAAGCTACTTAACACAACACGACAGTACAAAATCACGCGGTTTTGACGTCGAAAAAAAATAAAGAATCATCGTTAATACATGCAAGGTCTTACATCGAGAAATGCAGTCGCGTAATGGTAGAAATAGGACGAAGCGCAATACTGGGCCTGCACGGATTTAACAATGAAAATAGAGTAAGGGAAACGATAAGCTACCACATAGAAAAGCCTACGACGCCATGATGTGGCACACCTACTTCAGTATTGGCGCTTTAGAAAAAGAATCCGTTAAAATGGCGGTAGGAGCGGTTATGGCGGAAGGAGCGGTTGTGGCGGTAATGACAGTAATGACGAACGAGCTAGCTGAGATCTGAAATGTCGAATTGCAAGTAAGACATGACAGTAGGAGTAGGGGGATGAAGTTGAAGACAGAAAGGCATGGGTTTGGTTAGGTTTGGTCCGGAGGGGCGAGGTTTGGGCCGATGACGTGGCGATCTGTAAGAAGTTTGGGTTCCGATTTCTGGTGTAGATAAGTTTGGAATGTGGCTTGGGTACGCCGGGGTGTTTCGTAGCTTGACGAAATGTACCGTTTCGTAAAATCATGTTACATTATCGAGTCGTGATTTTGGACCGTTAGATCATTGCCGAGCTGATCTGACAGCTTTTAATATGAAAATTTCAATCGACGGTAAAGTGATTTTTAACGAGAAAATTGGAGTTTCAGCCGACCGATCAAACTAAACCAAACCTGGGCAGCTCGCCCTAGCCTAATCTGTCCCGAAAGTGGCCCAGCCTCCTCAAAGCTTGGGTTGGTTCGGGACAGGTGGCTGCCACTTTTTGGAAGGTGGTTTGGGGCGTGAGAATTTTGAGGGAATGGGGATTGTTTCTAGGCAGATTTCAGACAGTTTTCGGACCGCTTACTTTGAGGACACTTTCGGGACATTCACTTTTTGGTGATGTTATTTCCCAACAATCAGCACACGGCTTGTAGAACCCCCCGTTCACACTTGAAACTCCCTAAAGTTCATCAGCGCAACAAATTCTACATTTTGAACTTGATCACATTTGCGATGGCCGTTAACGCCTGGCTGAACGCAGCTCGCCAGCTGCTGCCTCTCGCCCTCCTCGTGCTCCTCGCCGTCACCAGCGCCAGCGCAGCACGGCCTAGGCTGCAGGCGTCGTCCTCCGTTGCAGCAGCCGGCGTCACCGGCGCTACCATCGACTCCGCATCTGGATCGACCTTGGAATCTCCGCACAGGGTGGAGCGGAAGCTGTTCAGCTGGGACGAGGTGACCGCGGATCAGGTCATTTCGGGGAGCCTGGGCACAATCGACGGGCCGGAGGACGGCGAGGTGACTCAGAAGCTGGTGGAGATTTTCATGGGCGCGGGGTACAACGTGATGGTGATCAAGAGCGATCACCGCATGGAAGGCGGCCCGGATTCCGCCAAGGTCGAGGTGTGACACTTTTGGGATAACTCAGAATTTACGGCGTATTACAAGAAGGGACCCTTCGAGGTTGCGAATACTGGAGATGGTGGGTTTGAGAACTGGGCCTTTGGAGGGGTCTTTGACAGGGTTGGGGCTAATGACGAGGTGGTGGTGTTCTATGATTGGTAGTGAGGTAGAGTTGCAATTCGGACCTTAGCATGGTGAAAGTGTGGTGAAGGTGTTCATTCATGACCTCGTAGTTTCGGTGTTACCGTAATCCCCCCACATATACCGTATGCGCATATGTGCTTGTAATGGAACCCCTTGAAATTTTAAATGCACTTTTAATTGAATGAAACTTATAAGCCCATGGGCTTATTAAGAGTACATTGATGGAAAATATGTTTCAGAGCACCAAATTGTAGCTCATTGAATTTGTGATCGAACGGATCAATCTCCTAAGGGGGTCGTGTGGATAGATTCGGCAAAAACTGTCGTGAAGTTAGGCTAGGTAGGAATAGGTCAAGCCATCATATAAGAGGTAGGCGAGAATGTCGAGAGAAAAGAGGACTAGGAAAGAAGAGAGAGGGATACAAGGAGGGGTGTTGTACCCTCTACAGTAATGTTCAGTAACATCTCTCAAATGTAACTTAGGTCGTTACTGTAGACTATACTTGATTGTGCCTTGGAGGGTACAACACCCTAGTCTATATACCCTTGTACTCACACATTCTAGTTCAATTATTCTTTCTGACAAGGTAGCATAGTAGGTTAGGTTCCACGCTTCCGCCCCCTAGGCCCTAGCCACCGTCGTGCCCCGCTCCTAGCCGGCCCTCCTGGCCGTCACGCTCGTCCCTAGCCAGCCCCCTGGCCGTCGCGTCTGCCCCTAGCCGGCCCCCTGGCCGTCGCGTCCGTCCCTGGCCGGCCCCCTGGCCGTCGCGTCCGTCCCTGGCCAGCCCCCTGGCCGTCGCGTCCGCCCCTAGCCGGCCTCCTGGCCATCGCGTCCACCCCTAGCCGACCCCCTGGCCGTCGCGTCCGCCCCTAGCCGGCCCCCTGGCCGTCGCGTCCATCCTTAGCCGGCCCCCTGGCCGTCGCGTCCGCCCCTAGCCGCCCCCCTGGCCGTCGCGTTCGCTCCTAGCTGGCCCCCTGGCCGTCGCGCCCCTCCCTAGCCGGCTCCCTGGCCATCGCGTCCGCCCCTAGTCGGCCCTCTGGCCGTCGCGCTCGTCCCTAGCCAGCCCCCTGGCCGTCGCGCCCGTCCCTAGCCGGCCCCTTTGGCCGTCGCGTCCGCCCCTAGCCGGCCCCTTGGCCGTCGCACCCGTCCCTAGCCGGCCCCCTGGCCGTCGCGCTCGTCCCTAGACGCCCCCCCCCCCCCCCCCCCCCTTGGCCGTCGTGCCCGTTTACCGTTGTCGCTGCCGTCTCCAGCCGCCTCACGGTCACTCCTGCCGTCGCGGCCGCCCCTAGCCACCGTCGCGGCTGTCCCTGGCCGCCGTCGCGGCCGTGTCTCCTCGCCGTCATGGCTGGCCCTACTCGTCATCTCGCCAGCTCCTCGCCGGCCCCCGTTGCCGCCGTTTGCTGGCCCCTCGCGTCTGCCGTCCGCCGGCCGGCTCCTGCATTCGCGTCGTCGCCAGCCCGCCGCCGCCTCGGGTTCGGCCCGTTCCTCCCGATAAGCACTGCCCTGCGAACCCCCCCGGTACCGTACTAGACCGCCTTGCACCGCACTGCACCGCGCTGTACCGCACTGCACTGCACCGCACTGTACTGCACTGCACCGCACTGTACCGCACTGCATCGCACTGTACCGCACTACACCGCCTTGTACCGCACTGCACCGCACTGCATCGCACCGAACCACACTGCACCGCACTGTACCACACTGCACCACACTGCACCACACTGTACTGCTCTCCACTGCCCTCTATTGTCACTGATAACGGAGGTGCTTCGCTTTGACGCTGAGGGCCAGCCGATTGAGTTTGATGCGTAGCTTGCTGACCTCCGTCGCCTCCTCACTGGTCAGTGGCAGGATGGCCACTCTCTGTCTGTCCATCCTGACGGTACTCTCCCCTACCCTGACCCCCCCGCTGCACTGTCTACAGATCCCTCGTCCGTTGAGCGTGAGTCCGCTGCGGCCGTTGCCCTTGCTCGCTCTGTTTGGCCGTCCCGTGATGCTGTCGCACAGCTTGTCATTAGCAATGCCCTTCCCCTGTCCGGGCGACCTCGCTTCAGGTCTATCACCACTGCCCAGGCTTTCCTAGATGCTGTTGTCCAGCGCTATTCCACCCCGCCTGCTGCCTCGGTCGGTCGTCTGATCCTCCCCATGCTCTTCCCTGACCTTGCGTCGTTCCCCACTGTCGCCGACCTGGCCGCTCACCTGCGCACTATAGACGAGACCTGGCATGCTGCCTGCACTCCTACACAGCTTCTAGCCCACCAGCCGCCCCTCACCTCTACTCTCTACCTGCTAGCCACCCGCCTCCCTGACCGTCTTGCCACTGCCCGTGACCACTTCCTTAGCGTCCACCCCGCAGACCTCACCCTCACTGACTTTGTTGACACCCTGTCCGCTATAGAGACCCGCCACCGCTCTATCGCTCAGACCAGCGGTACTGTGCCAATCCTATGTTTCAAGGTTGCGTCCCCGCTCAGTGCACCTTCTCTGACGGTTCTGTTGCTGTGGCTGAGACTCCCGCTGCAGCACAGGTCCGTCCGGGGAAGGGTCGCCGCCCCAAGGCTGGGCGTGGCGGCGGGGGTGGGGGTGCAGGTGTAGGTGGTGCTGGAGCTGGGTCTCCTGATGGTGGTGCGGACAAGGGGACCCTGCCAGGTGCGGCCGAGCAGCCGTCTCAGCAGCCGCCGGCGTTGCAGCCGGACTCGCGTCAGCCGCAGCAGCCGCAGCAGTCGCAGTAGTCGCAGTCGCAGCAGAGACGGGCGAGTGGTCTCCCGCCCGGGTGGCCTGGCGCTGGTGGTAGCGCTGGACGTGGTGGTGGTGCGCGTGGTGGGCTGCTGGGTGGTCGTTCGGGTGACGCGCGCTGTCAGTACGTGCTCCAGACTGATCCTCGCCGTGGCTTCGTTTGCGGTAAGATCGGTCACACCTCCGTCCACTGTTTTCGTCGCCCGGACGACCTGTTTTGTCAGCGTTTGGGCCCGTCGCCCGAGCTCCCAGACTGGCACAGTTTGCTTCGTCCTAGGGTTCAAATTTTTTATCTAGATATGGATGAGATTGTTACTGCTCTGCATGTGATGTATGCTGATGACTCTAGTGTGCTTCCGTCTTATTACCCCTTGTTGCCTAGTGTAGGTGTGCCTTGCTTAGACTCCCCTGCTGCGTCAGGCGTAGGATCCCCTACTTTGTTTAGCCTTGGTGCTTCCGTCGCTGCTTCACCTCCGGCCGCCTCTGCCGCACTCTCCTTCACCCCCGACTCTGGCGCTTTCCGTTGCTTCTTCCGCGACTCCACCACGTTGACACCGCTTCCTGTCCCTGCTGCAGTCTCTGTTGCTGACCCCTCCTCCGGCCCAGTAGTCGTCCGCAGTTCCACCACCCTCCCCTGCCCGGCGGTTCCTTCGGGCTCGCTCACAGGACTGCACATCCCCTCGTTCTCCAGGAACCTAGTTGGTGTCGTCTGCCTTCAGGACCTTGGCGTCACCACTACGTTCCCTGGACACGAGCGGTCCGCTGTCTGTACCGAGGCCGCCACTGGTGCCCCCCTGTCCACGTTCCCACGAGACTCGGTGTCCGGTCTTTTAACAATGGACACGGTGATCCCGTGGCTTGTCTCTGTACGTGTCGACTGCGGTCTCCTTGTCTTGCGTCTCCACTCCGACCGTGGTGGCGAGTTTGCCTCTGGTGTCCTTGGTCGCTTCTGTCGTGCGGAGGGCATCACCCAGACGTTCACCTTGCCGGACTCCCCGCAGCAGAATGGGGTCGCTGAGCGGCGCATCGGTTTGGTCATGGAGGTGGCTCGCACCTCCATGATCCATGCCGGTGCACCCCATTTTCTGTGGCCATTCGCCGTTCGCTACGCCGCTCACCAGCTTAACCTGTGGCCGCACCCCCAGCAGCTCAGGTTTCGCCGTCCCTCCTCTAGTCTGGGTCACCTGGTGACGTGTCTGCGTTCCACGTCTGGGGCTGCCTTGCTCACGGTCGTCGCGGCCCCTCCCCCTCCCCCTCCCCGTCCTGCCCCCTCTGGTGTGTCCCGCGTCACCCCGCTTACGTCGGTTGTCCCGGTTGAGGAGTCTGCTGACTCTGGTGGTCCTGCGACGCAGTCCTCGCCGCTTGCCCCTTCTCAGGTGTCTCCTCCTCAGCCGCCTTCGCAGCTGCCGTCGCCAGTGCTGTCGCAGCCGTCGTCACCGCCGCCGCCGCAGCCGTCATTGCAGCCGCCGCCGCCGCAGCCGTCGCCGCAGCAGTTCGCTGGGGGTGCTGGAGTTGGGGTGGGTACTAGTCCTGGGACTCTTGTTGTGGCTTGTCCCGGTGGGCCTGAGGGTGGTACCGGTGCTCGAGGGGTTCTGAGCTCTGGGGGTGTTCCTTCTGGGGGTGCTGGCGTGGAGTGTTCTGGAGGTAGCCGCCATGCAGCTTGCGGTTCCGGTGTCGGTGTCACACCGCCGCCGCAGCAGTCCCCGCCGGTGTCCGCTCTTCGCCTGCTCGGCCTTCCGTCCCCTAACTCCGTGCCTGTGCCTCCTCCTCCTCCTGTCTACGGCCCTGTGTTCCCTCCTCCGGACTCGTCTCCGGCCCGTTTCCCCCCTCGTTCCCCTCTTGTGTCCCCTCCTCTGTCCCCTGACCCGACTCCTCCGTCTCACGTCTGGTCTCGCCGTCCCTCCAGTGCTCGACCTGTCTCCCCTGTCTCATGCTCTCACCCTATGTTGCTTCGTTCCCACGCGTCTCGTCCTTCCCTTCTCCCGTTGCCCCCTCCGTCCTCCCTTCTCGTTGCTCCCCCTCCTCTGTCTGACTACCTGCGTGCCGCTCGTCCTCTTTTTCCTCGGGTCCTTGCCTCTCTCGTTACCGACACGTCTGTTCTGGTTTCGAGCCTTGACGCCCTTGTCGCTGCGGTCGCTGACTTCGCCTCTACCCGCCGCCTTGACTACGCCACCGTTCTAGTCTCTGACCTTGCCTGTCCTCCGTATGTCGGGGG